AGAGCAGTTTATTAAAAACAATCAGTGCTCTGCAAAGCTCTGCAACACCAATCAAACCTTCAATAACGTCTGGTGTCCATCATGAGTTTCTGCGTGCAGTGCAGTTACGATCGGTGCTTCTACTTTAAACTCTAAGCGTCATTTATCAGGTTTATATTTAAGATTCTGAACTGTGCAGTTTACCTGAGCTGTTGGCTTCTGTTTCAGGGCCCGATGTGTGACCTGCTGTGGTCGGACCCCGATGACCGCGGCGGGTGGGGGATCTCTCCCCGAGGTGCCGGCTACACCTTCGGTCAGGACATCTCTGAAACCTTCAATCATGCCAACGGACTCACTCTGGTGTCTCGCGCCCATCAGCTGGTCATGGAGGTAAAACGATGACTTTTGGACACTTTTTTCACAGCACGGTGTCACTTTTATGTGAAAATATTGTGCTGTTTAACCAAAGAATGAGTATGAATATTTGTTTATAGAAAATCTCCTCGGGGGTTCGCTTAAAAAAAAAAAAAAAGCAAATCTGGCTGCGTAAAAGAAGGAAATCCAACCTGTTAGCAGCCTGTTTATATGCAGAGATGATTCAGATCAGAAAGAAAAAACAAAACACTTTATTTTGGGTCAGGTGACCTCGTTATCCTGGTCAGGTGACCTGTTTGTCCTCTGATGTCATGATGATGAGCTTCAGAAACCCACGCTGCTGCAGGTTTGTCGTGATGAGCCCACAGACCGGCGCTCACATGTCCTGTTATTTTTATGTTAAACCTGGCACACGTGTTCGCACAGCCAGTGGACTGAAGGGTCCTATAAAAATCCTCTGGTTTCCATGGCAACAACATGATGTTGGAGCAGGCTCCTCATCTCCTCCCTGGTGTCCCAGTTTTACTCCCACGGAGAATCAGTTCACTGTTCAGAAGATTCGCCAAGCAGCTGCACGAACTTCACCTGCAGCTGAAGGAAAGCTCCGATCACAGGCGGCTGAGGACGCGCCGCGCCCACAGATGAACCCTCCGCTCGTCCCATCAGGTCGAGCTGAGAGTTCCTGGTTTGACCGTTATTCTCACTGGAAATGTTAAAATTACAAAGTTCTCGTCAGTTTTCCTGAACTGATCTGCGAGAGCTGTTCCTGTTGATGTTAGCACGCCCTTCGGTTCACGGTTAACTTGACAATTTCATGTGTCTGAAGTGAAATATAACTTTGTAGTCCTTTTTTCTTCTTCTCACAGACTATTTCATCCTTCAGAGTAAAATATCTCTGCTACTCTGTGCTGATTGGTCGGTTAAAGACTGGCTGATTCTCACTCAAAAACATTTCAGAACGTCAAAAACAAAGAAATGAAACTTGTTCTTGAGCCCATGGAGCCCTGCTCGTTCAGCTCAGTAGCGCCCCCTGTTGATCAGAGGTGTCCCAGTCTAACTGACATGTTTGTTCCTGCAGGGCTACAACTGGGGCCATGACAAGAACGTGGTGACCATCTTCAGTGCTCCAAACTACTGCTACCGCTGTGGAAACCAGGCGGCCATCATGGAACTGGACGACACTCTGAAATATTCTTTGTAAGTATGAAGAATGCGTTCACATCATATGAGAGGCCGAACGGTGCTGAGGTTAAATATGAATACATCCATGTAAAACACACGGAGCCGTGTGGGGACCCTGAGGGTTGGACACACTAAACATCACGAATCCCCAGATTCCTTTTAATGTTTCTCTTCTTTCATATATTAAGTTTAGCATGAATACTCAGACTGTGCTTCTGCGTAACG